TTTTCAATCATCTTTTGTTTGTGACTCTATAATAGAGCAATATTAAGTTGTTTATGATTGAAAACACTTCTTGGAAAGTATAAACCAACATGAAAAAAAATATTGTCCTTGACTCTTATCTATGGTCATATCAAAGTAAATAACTAAAGGAAATTGTTTTCTCTAAAGGTTAAAAGATAATTTCGAACCCAATTAAGTTAATACCGTTCGAGGAAGGAAGATTTTGTGTCCAATAATTGCTACCTGATATAATTTTTGTCTTTACCACATATTCACTTAATTGAGTAACTACTAATCTTGTTTCATTACATAAATCGAATAATTTGTCTATATTTTTAAGTAGCATGATCAGAACACATGTTTTAAGCTTCAAAATGTGGTTTGGAAGTTCCAAACACTTGATGTTATTTAAAAGTTATGGGGTATAAACACCTTAAAGACTGTTTACGCTATTTTCTATCTTGCAACTATCATAATTTAAATATATTTTTTCATTACCTAACAATAAAGAAAGCATATGTCATTAGCATTTTTGATGATGTTATTTATAAGAGCCAAAATGACTATTTTTTGAATGATAGATTTCCATTTTTATAATAGAGAATGATAGATTTCTAGTTCCTTATAATCCAAAATTTCTCATAAAATTTTATAGTCATATTAATATCGAATATTACAATCTGTAATAACCTAAATCCTAGTTTGCATGATTTAGGAAATTTAAGCATTGTTTTGATTTACATTGTATTTGAGATAATTTTAACATAAAATTTTGAGGTATGTTGGTAATAATAGATGTGATAATTTCTAGTGTCTTGATTTGCATAATTTGAGAAAAATAGGAATTTACATTTTTTTTTTATAGGAGAAGAGAAATTTTATTCCAAAGTATGAGAAAAATGAAAGAATTAAATCTTCCCTCAAGTAAGAGAAATATTCCCCAATTGGGAGAGAAAACCCCGAAGTGGGAGAGAAAATCCCTCAAGTGAGAGCAAAAATCCTCCTAATGGGTCTTGGAAAGGAAAATGGAAGAAGGAGAAAATGTTTTCATGTAAGAGAAAAAGGAGAAAAATGGGAGAAGAGGGAAATTTCCCCCGGCCAAGGGGAAAGTTTTCCCCTGGAAGAGAGAATATTTTTCTTGGCAAACCTGAAAATTTCCCAAGGCCAAATGTCATTTCCAATTAATTTTGGAAACGTTGACACATCTTAAACACCTTTGAGGTAGATGGTGCCACTTAGGAGAGTTTAGGACACTTGGAAGTTAAATGTCCTCATTTGGGTGGAAATTAGGACATAGCACAGCTTTGGTGACCACTTTGTTAAATGAAAAATTAAGCTGAAAATTAAATTA